GGAAGCTTATATACGTACATCAGGAATTTGTAGTACATTTGTAAAATTATTTAATTTAAATTTTAGTATACTAGTAATAGAGGATAGGATAGGAAAATATAATTAGACATACATAATAAAGAATGTATGTATATTAAATTTCAAAAAACTATTATTTCGATTATTTCCTAAGTCGTTGATAACATCCATCTAGAAAAGAATGAGTCAAATTGATTAATTTATTAAGAAAATTTATTTGATCAGGCATATTGATTTTATTCGTTTGTACTTCTCTTCGTTTCATACCTTTAGGAGGATAGAAATACAAAATATTAAAAATTTGGGTTGTAAGTAATTTTGACATTATTGAAGCTATTTCAAATCCGACAGCGAGTACTATTTCGTTTGTATTCGTCTGTACCGCTTTTTATTTCATTAGTACCCGTCAAGAGATAAACATACGGAATACTGAAAATAACGTAATAAATGTACAATAATTTTGTACGCGTTCGTAATTTTTCACCTCTTTCTCAAATTAACATAAGTATGTATAGCACATATAAGTGTTATACTAGAAAAAAATGTCATGTTAGAGTTAGGTAATAGAATGATTCGACAATTCAAATTTATATTTCGCTTTGCAGAGATGTAAAAGGAAACGATCTTAAGATAAAATCTTTGTTAGTAGCAATTAATTTGCCTATACATATCCAGAATTAGCTTATCTGCTAATACCTTTTCTTCAATTTCTTATTGGTATTTCGGTTTTATTGTGTTATGTATATAATGGTCAAGTGACAACTGATGAAATCAAAAGACAAGACGAATCTTGGTGGCTTACAATTTGAGCGACAAGTGTAAGTAGGTGGTATCGTGGCTATATGAAAGTAGAAGATACTTAATAACGGTGGCTCTCCCAAACGAACTGTCCGTGTAGACTGACCTGGTAGGAATGCTACGTTTTACTTATCAGCTTTGCAGCGCACCGCGATTGCCAACAAATCCCGCCGATTGTCGTGTCATTGCCTTAAAAAAAATGGATTACTTGAGTGCATCAAATGACGGAAGTGACAGGTTTTAATAGTCGATATTAATGTGATTTACTCACTCTAAAAGTCTCATTGCTATTGTATAAAATGCACGTTTTCTCATGCTCCCGTTTCGTCATTATGTCGCGCTTTAATAATTCCTTGATTATTATAGTTTCAAGTGCAAAATATATTTACGTGACCTTGGTGTACCCTATGCATTAGCTTAGCATCCAAGGTTTGTGAAATATAATTTCGCAACATTGGACACTATTAACTATCTTTCTCCATCACGAAAAGTCAATTTATAAGTAAAATTATAACTTTCGACATCATCTTCGCTTATTTAATAATGTTGTGTAAAAGAGGTTATAACTTTTAATCAACTTAAAGTAAAAAAACTCGACTTAATTCTAAAATACATTTAGTACGTGTATAGCAATATATGTATTTACTATTAATAATGTTCCAACTTATTTTACTACAAATATCGTATATATTATTTTTACAGCACAGTTCAAACGCTTTTTTCTATGCATTTCCCATAATAATCTATTAATAATTAATTAAATAATAGGATGCTTTGATTTATTATTATTAATACAAGAGCAAATAGAAAGAATAATAGGAACATTTTGGGTTGGATTTTTATTATGATGTATTTTGTGCTACTAATGTAAAGGTCTTCGATTGGATAAGGACACCATTTTTTCCAAATTACGGATATTAAAAATAAACTGTTTTTTTACTGAAACGACGTATCGAATAATAATATCTTTGTCATAGTTCTTATTTTCTGAAATTATGCTCTTAACTGATTTCTATCTTCGAAAAAAATTAGAATAGTTTGGAACTCTAGAACTTTAGAACAGAAAACACACTAAAGTTATAGAGTGTTGACCTTTTTAACAGTGCAAGTTCGACATCCCATAATGAGAATGTAAGTTAAAGCATTCCATTAGTATAAGATGAATATGTACGAGAATTAGAGACAGGCTTTACTATGTAAACCGGTTTTCAACAT